GGGAGACTCCAGCAAGAATGCCCGTGGTCCGCAGCTCTTTTTTCTCAGGGGAAGTGATGAGGTGGGACTAGGAAAGAGGTGGGGAAAGAGGCGTTAGAGGAGGGGAGTGGGCGGAGGAGGGGTTAGAGAAAGGAAAGGAAGCAGGCCCTCTGGGGACACGCAGTGTCTGCCGTCTGCCCGCCCAGCTGTGGCCAGGACCGGAGCCCCTGGAGCCGAGCTGAGAGGAGACGCTGCAGAGCGCCGAGAGGACCACGCCAGCCATGGTGAGCTTTCGGCCCGAGGGTTTCGGAGGGCCAGGTGGAACCTCTTCCAGGGGCTGCAGAGGCAGGTGGCAAACGACGGGAAGCAGCACATCCCACTTTCCTTGGTTTAAAAAAAGCCAGGAGCTAAAATCGCTGCGTGCTCCTAGGACCCCTCCCCTCGGGTGCTGCCCTCTCCTTGGCTGGCCTCTGCGGAGACTCTCGCAGGACCGTCTTGTTGAGATGAGCACCTCTGAGAGCTAACCCTGCGGCTACCCCACAAGTGACATACTTCAGACAACACGGTTTTAAGGTGTGCAGAAAATGTGTGGCCTTGTCATTGGAATTGCTCAAAATGCATTTCCTTTTAGCTGAACAAAACTGAACTGCTTGTCTCGGCTGGTGTCTGTTTGGCTACCTAATGCTTTCAGGTATTGGAAGCATCATAATCAGGTGGGAGTTTTTAACACTGAATCTAGACACCAATAGCTCATTAAGCACCAATGAACACTTTAAAACAGTATATACTAAGTATCGAATAGTTTCATCTAACAGCTCAGCAGACAAGTAGAGACAAAAAAGTTACTGAAATATAGAAAAAAGTCTGCGTTGTAACAATCAGCAGCTCGAGGCTAAGACACAAAATAAAAGACCCTGTGTCGGTTCTGAGGCAAATTCAACGCTCCTCGTTTATCCATGTCCAAGAGATCAATGCCTGGCCAGGCTTCGTGAGCCGATGTGTTTTGTTAACTTTAGGAAAGTTGTAGGAGCCCCCTCAGGGGGCCGTAGGAGTGTGATGTGAGTGTAAATCTTGTGTTTTACTTGCAGCTGCCTCCACGGAAATGCCGGAGCGCCCCGAGGGTCTTCGGGCTGTGGGTGTGGACGGCGCTCTGCTGTGGTGCGTTCTGCTGTTTGTCTATCGCTGAGCCTTTTTCCCGCGTGTTTATTTCTCTTAAGTGTCCACGGGGCGCACGGGTCACAGGGAGAATTGTTGGGTAAAGGGCTGCTGACCCGCCCTGTCCCCTGCAGGGCTCCTTTCTTCCTCTCGGCTTTAATCCTTCCCCGCAGGGTCCACGTTCTGACAAACCCACAGAGACCTTAGTCCTGAAGGTCTGGGGCCGATTAAGGGAAATCTCACAGGAAGTTACAACCTGTACCAGATACTCAGTGCTGGGCTCCTGCGATTTACCGACAGTTCGGTGGACACCGATGTCACCCGACAGTTACAGTACGAGCTCTTCAGGGGCGGGCCCTTTACATAGCTTGTTTCTGTTTCCCGCTGATGTGACAAGTGCGGCGTGTGACTCTCGAGCAATGTTAGGCAACTGGATGAACTTTCTTTCCCATTTCCTCAGTGAGCTATTAGTCTTCTTACGCCCTAGCCTGAATTTTCAGCTCTGGCCAAGCAAAATTGCTTTCCTTGGCCCCTCGCACATTCCTTATGTCTGTCTGCCTCATGCCGCCTGGGACCCTAGCGAATGCCCTGCAAGGTGCCAAGCACTGTCCTGGGCACTGAGGATACAGTGAGCAGTGAGCAAAACAGTTCCTCCCCCAGGGCTGGCCCTCCGTCTAGTGGACCGCCCCTTCCAAGCTCTGCCCAAATGCCCATTTTATGACGTCCTTTACTCAGGAATCCTGTTTCATTTCTGATATGTTTGACTTGATCAAGATTAAATATGTTTTCTTTGTATCTGTTATTTCTTATTTAGAATCTTTAGGAGGCTGTAACATTGTATCTCTTTTCTTTGGTATTTCTCTCTGGTATTTACCCTACACAGAGAAAATACTAAATGTTGATGGCTGTGGAAACTTTCCTTTCCAGCAGAGCTTAGAGTGGCTCATGTTACTATGCGGTCATTGTGTGGTCATGGTTTGTCCTGGTTTTTTCAAAGCCCTCATATCTGAAGTACCTATATGCTGATTACACATCATCAGTTGAGTACTTTTGTGTCCAGGACACCATCTAAGCGAATTTCACAGTCTGACACCATTTGGTTTTTTAAATTGCTCTTTTTGTTATTATGTAGTTAGATATCTAAGGCTTGGGCTGCACATGGAGGTTTTCCCAGAAGCAGTTCTTCTTATGCTAAATGTTATCTTTTTGGTACAAAAAAGATGACTTAAAAATATATCATTATTTCTGCCTTTATTCTACTTCTCTCCCAGGATTAAAAAAAAAAAAAAAGTAGACAGTAAATCTTAGAGCTATATGATGTTATACTTAAATTAATGTTAAATGACATTGTACTTAAATTAATGTTAAGTGATTGACAGCTACTAAGATAAAGAAATGTGAATTTCTAAAACATGTAGATTAAATTTCACTTGAAAGAATTTTGAGAAAAATTTGTTTCATAAAAATAAATCTAGAAAGCCACCAAATTTGTCCAAAATAGAGCTATGTGCAGAAGCGTTCTCTATCATGGTGAGAAGTGATCAGGACTAGGAAGAAGGCGTACCTCCTACTGTCCATCTCACATGGCCGGTGCTGAGCCGCGGGCGGTGACGTCGCCCTTGGGGTGCCAGCCTCCTCCCAGCCCGGGCCACCCTAGGAGGTGTCCGCTGTGGCCCTGAGCCTACAGTTCACGCCCATGTCTTTCAGATTTCTCGGCCTATCACGGAACCGACTGCTGGACTTACCATTATTCTGAAAAGCCCATGAACTGGGCAAACGCTAGAAAGTTCTGCCAACAGAATTACACAGATCTGGTTGCCATTCAAAACAAGGGGGAGATCGAGTACCTGAACAGGACCCTTCCCTTCAGTCGCACCTACTACTGGATAGGAATCCGGAAGGTAGGGGGCGTGTGGACCTGGGTGGGGACCAACAAGTCCCTCACGGCCGAAGCCGAGAACTGGGGAGATGGGGAGCCCAACAACAAGAAGTCGAAAGAGGACTGCGTGGAGATGTACATCAAGAGGAGCAAGGACGCGGGGAAGTGGAACGACGACGCCTGCCACAAGCCCAAGGCCGCGCTCTGTTACACAGGTAGGAGCCGCCACTCGGCCGAGGACGGCCGGAGAGCACTCGGGCGGGTCCTCCAAGGCCGCTCGAACCAGGTCTCTGCGGGCATTTCTGGTGTGTGAGGCTGGTCCCCGCACCCCAAAGCGATATCCCTGAATGGACTTACAGCAAGAGGAGACGTGCGTTGGGAGGAAGGGCTGACTAGACCGTCCCAGGGGATGGGGGAGCGTAGCTTCCGTTACCCCGGTGTCCCCATCCTGCAGCAGGGGGCTTGGTGTCGCGTTTCCTGGGTGGCCTGACCCTGTAGATATAATGACACATTGTGGTGTTTCATTATCTGGTGTATAAAATTTCCGTAAAGGCAACTGTAACAGTTCCAGACAGTCCAGATTTTCCCACATCGCATTGTAACAGTGAAACAGTTCGTTTGGTCCCTGGTGAACTGGACTCCCTATTAACTTCGCAGACTTGGGCTTTTCAGTCTTTCTGGCATTCTTTCTATGAAGAAAGGCATTGCCAAGCAATCTCACTGCAGAAATGACTGGAGTTCAGGGCATCTCTTTACCTGCTTATTACATCAAAAACCAAGTAATTTCAAGAGTTTCAACGTGTGTCCCTAAGTTTCCCCAAAATATTACAAAGTGTTAACACTGGGAGATTCTTTCAAGAACAAACACTTAGGGCTATATGGCCAGTATCTGACGTAAATAAAAATGTTAGCATATGGTTTTTATGCAAAGGTACTATGAAAAAATGTACAAATAAAGTTTTCCTGTTTATTAAAATAGTCTCAACCAAAAAGTTATCTATGCCTAAAACAATGACTATGTGTGCTAAAAAGTAATCACATTAAAATAATTTCTTTCGGATCCCCTTGCAGCTTCTTGCCAGCCCTGGTCCTGCAGCGGCCACGGCGAGTGCGTGGAAACCATCAATAACAACACCTGCGCCTGTGACGAGGGCTACTACGGGTCCCAGTGCCAGCTCCGTAAGCCGCTTTCCCTTCCCGGGCTCTTTCTGTGCGAAGGCGCAGGGGCACCTGCAGCTTGTGGGAGTAGCTGGGACGCACGCTACTGGCCATTCTGAGAAATGAGAAGTTCTGATCATAAGGCCGGGCTTGCGCAACACTGGTACCTTTCCGTAAAGATTTCATAAGTCACGACGAAGTTTCACTTCTCAGCAGGTGTTTCCCAGTGGCACAAAGATCACAGCCGTGATGGTTACAACAATGAGTGAGGTGTGGTAGATACCTGCTCTTAGAAACTCATCATTCTAACGAGCTTGTCTGGCTCATTAGAACTAAATAAAGTCTGAAAGAAACTAAAATGTGTACGGTTAGGAGGGCAAGTGGCCCAGAATGTCATCTCGCTTGGTTATGGAATCCTCAAAGTCACAACAGGGCCAAGGCCCAAAAGAAAAGTTCACACAATGATACTCAGCACATCTGGTCAGAGAGATAGAATAATAAATCCAGCACGTTTATTTGGGCTGGGAGTTTCAGAATATATGAAGGCAAATCCATTATGGATTCTGCCCTTATAGGATTTACAGTTAACTAGTGGAAATTATAGATGCCCATCATTTAGTGTGATGGAAGGAGAGGTAAGCCGGGGTAAGCTCGCGGAGGCTGGAAATTGCCCAGTGAAGCAATCTGGCCTTTATCTGACAATGAGAGGCTACATGCTATCTTTTTTTTTATATATATATCTTTATTGATTTCAGAGAGAGGAAGAGAGAGAGACAGAAACATCAATGATGAGAGAGTCATTGATCGAGCCCACAACCCAGGCATGTGCCCTGACCGGGAATCGAACCCTGTTGCCTGGATCCTAGGTCGACGCTCAACCGCTGAGCCACGCCCGGCCGGGCTACATGCTATCTTTTTAAATTGACTTTATTGGGGTGACTTTGGTTAATGAAATTATGTAGATTTCACTACACTACGTCACCTGTCTATTGTGCTGTGTGGTCACCACCCCAAGTCAAGCCCCCTTCCATCCCCACTTGTCCCCCTGCACCCCCGTCTTCCTCTCTACTCCCCCTTCCCTCTGGTAAGCACCACACTGCTGGCTGTGTCTGTGAGGTTATGTGACATTTAGTATCTTAACACCTGCGCTTAGGGCAGCTGCCCTAGAAGCAGGCTCGACATGGACTGAGTGGCGGAGGGTCAGAGCAGGAGAGAGCCGGCAGGGGTCTGCTGCGCTCCCCGGGAGCCCGGCGGCGGAGGCAAGGAAAGCGCAGACTCACAGGCGCGAGGCCGAGCCAGTCACCTCGCTACTGAAAGCCGTGCGTCAGATCCTTTGACTGAGGCTGGCTGGGTTTCAAAACTGTGTTTGAAGTATCTGGGGCATGAGATAGACTATTACAAGGAGCAAAAATAAAGCCACGCTCGTGGAGAATAAATAATTAAAGCCAAAGTAAATTTAAATGTCAGCCAAGGGGAACTGACCTAACTCGTTCGCGGCGTTGCAGAGCCGTGACCCTACCCAATGCTTGACCCTCACTCCCCCCCAACGCTTCATTTTTCAATCCCTCTGTCGCAGGCAGGGCCATTTCACTCCTCGTTGAACGTGTTAATCGATTTTGTCTCGGCTTCCGTCGGGTCACTCTTTCCCGGTTTTCTCTCTACCTGTGATCGTTTCTCTTGTTTTTGTCATGGGCACGAACCCAAGCCCTACCCTTTTGTTAGCCCTCAGCTCCTATCTTTTGTCCACTGCCCTTTGGACTCCATAGGCCCCCCTTGGTCAACCTTACCAGCTTTTGTGAACTGGAAAATCCATGTGAGCTTTGGGCTGACACCTGTTTCCAGCCCTGAACTCCGAGTATGCTAAGCATATCCTTGGGGTGCCCACAGGCTGCAGAACACTGTCCCAGAGCTTCTCTCTCGTCTCCCTATCTCCACGTGCGGTGCCACCATCTATATGAGCGTGCGCGGCCCGGCTTCGGCCCTCCTCACTCAGCCCGATGCTCTTTCTTTTCTTACTGAAGTGACGCAGTGTGAGCCCCTGCAGGGCCCAGAGCTGGGCACCGTGACCTGCGTCAACCCTCTGGGAAGCTTCAGCTACAGCTCGCATTGTGTCTTCAGTTGCTCGGAGGGGACAGGACTCGTGGGGGTTGGAGAAACCACCTGTGGTCCGTTTGGAAACTGGTCGTCTCCTGCGCCCACCTGCCGAGGTGAGTGACGGGCCTGGCTGGGGGCCTCGTGGGCAGGCCAAGCGCACAGGCCGCCCAGCAGGGTCTTGCTAAGAAGTCTGAACCCTCTTTGGGAGCAAAATTTAACCTTAGACTACACTGCGGTGCTTTTCAGGGGGGCAACTGTTATTAAAACAAAAAAAACCTACAAACAAAAAGTGACAAGCAAATACCCCTGGAGCGCCCTCCCCGTGCAGGCATGTGAGCGGCGCAGGCGGGTACACGGCCCTTCCCTCCCCCGGGGCCCGCTGAATGGCCAGTGCCACGGAGCCTCAGTGAAGCCCGGGTCTTTCTCTCCTCTCGGTAACGCCTGTTTCGCGTGGCGTCCTACTTCACCCCAACCAGCTTCCTTCGGGAGGGCAGAGGCCTCGATATTGTTTCCCTGGTTTTTGTCGAGACCCTCTTACCTTTTCCCCTCCGTGGGCGCCCAGGACAGCAGCTGCCGTGGAAAACAAACCCCAGGTCTCGGTCCTCCGCGTGTGAGAGGAGGCGCGCGTTTTCTTTTTAACTGTCGGCCGCCTCCTTGCAGGAGAAGACTGCTGGTGGCCGCCCTTGGGCAGCCTCGCTTACACTTTCTATCTTCGTGCTTCTGGCTCACTAGTCTAAGTGGTTTAATTCTCAAAAGAACTGTCAGGATCATTCACTGAAATCAAGGCACTAAATCGCCAACCTGCTGAATTTTACAGAAGTCGAGGGACTTGCCTCAGGGAACTGGGATGTTTGTCACAGTTGCTTGGGTGGGTTTAGAGCAGGTGAGAGGGAGGAGATTCTCTACACTCCCCGAGAAGGCCCCTCAGCTCTGGGGGCCCCGGCCCTGTCGCAGGGCTTCCAGCAGCCGGAGCGACGCCCGGGGACCAACCCTCCCCTCCTCCCTCCTCCCTCCACCTCCCACCCCCAATGCCTTCGGTGGTCTCCGGCCTCACCCCTGACTCTCCATCAGTCTCGAGAAAATGAAGTCTGGAAGCATTATCAGGAGCAATTTCTAGTTTAGAAATGTGTAGAGTCCTGTGGGTGTTCCCGCAGTTGAGTCAGGCAGCTTTGGCTAAAAACCTTTGGTCAAGGGAGGGTCTCTGCTCAGAATTTTTTTCTCTTTTTCATTGAAGCAATTCCGTGTGAGCCTCTAACAGCACCTGATTTGGGGACCATGGACTGCAGTCACCCCCTGGACAACTTCAGCTTTAAGTCAGTGTGCACCTTCAACTGCTCAGAAGGAACTGAGTTAATCGGGGAGAAGAGAACCACCTGTGGATCGTCTGGACTCTGGTCGAACCCCAGTCCAGTCTGTCAAAGTGAGTCAGTTTGCCCCATGTGCTGAATACCTTACAGATGGAGCAGATGGCGGGGAAAGATATATTGAACTTCCATATTCCATTTTGCTAAACGTATGTGTCTTAAGAATAAATTTATACATATTAATTTACCACATAACCCTTGACTATTCCCACCTCTTCCTTCAGTGATAGCCGTTTCCTTTTTCCAGCCATTTCTCCACTCCACCCCTCCCAACCTTTAGCATCTAAACTCACTGTCTCTACTGACTTGTTTGTTACCCATTCTTCCACCGCAGCACAAGCTCACGTCTCGGTTAGTCCATGAAAATGCCACTACAGAGGTCACGAATGACCACGTAATTCCAAAAGCAGTGGATGCGTTTCAATTATCGTTAAGCCAAAGCGTCCTGAATCTGCGCATGGGGCCGTGTCTCCCTCTTCTCTCTAAACCCTCCACCTGCCAGTAGGTGCTAAGTAAATGCCCATTAAATTCACATGTGAAAGACTAGCTACCCATGTCTACCCCTGAGACCACCTGCATCAATGACAAACGTCTTTAAATAGTAGGATCTGTGGAAGCTACGAGAGAGGCTGGTCTCTGTGGGTCGCGGGCTGGGGAGTGGGGTGGGGACCAGGGTCTTCAGGGGGGTCTGTGTTCAGGCCATGGGTCCTTCCCTTTAAGGCTGGGCTAGTCCCTTCCTCATGCTCGTGTGTGGATCCTCTGGGACCTTGAGCCCCTTTCCTTTACCGAGTTGGGTGTGGGGATGGAAGCAATGTAACGAAAGGGTCCTCACCACAACGTGAGGATAAGGGAGGCCGTCAGACCCTGGGCAGACCTGCAGAGGAAGTTCCTTGACGGGTGTTCTCAGGTTACAGATTTCCCCACATCGATATTTTTTCAATAAAGGTCCCCGATGATCTTAGGTCACACTTACAGGATGATATAGAGCTGTGCTCCTTTAGGCACAGGGGGTCCCAAAAACTGTGTACACACTCAACAGCTGATAGCTCAATTGATGTTTCTTTCTTTTCAGATTTAGCCCATTGCAGTTAATAATTATTGAAAGTGTGTACAGATTTTGGGGGGCCCCCTGTATTTGTGAAGGAAGCAGGAGAAGTGAGTCATCGGCAGACAGGCCAGTGCCGGTCCCTGGCATGTAAACCCCAAGTGCCTACACGCGCACAGCTGCTTCCAAGTAGGAGCACTGATGATTCTTGTAGCTGATCAGTTACCTGGCTCAGATCGCTGGCTTTGATTTTTCCTACAGTCATGCTGGCCTTTTAGCGCTTCTCTGATTTAGAGTCCGAACCATTCAATAAGACCACGGAGCTAAATACAGCGATGACCCCTTCTTGACAAGATTTTAGGTGCATCTCCCGGAAATTCCATCAATCACAAATCTGGGAATGACATTGCTTAGGCACCGGCTTTGCCCCTGGACTCATCGTGGGCCTTCCCACGCCAGTTCCCTCATCCGTCAGATGGCATCAAATGGGCAGTTGTTGGGAGATGGAAGGAGGGGAAAGTCTGACATCATGAAACGGCACTAGAGAAACCCTGCTCATGGCCTCATGTGACGTGCCTCCCTCTTTCCCTTTCAGAACTGGACAGGAGCTTCTCGCTGATCAAGGAGGGAGACTACAACCCCCTCTTCATCCCAGTGGCCGTCATGGTCACTGCATTCTTGGGGTTGGCATTTATCATCTGGCTGGCAAGGCGATTAAAAAAAGGTATGTGAGTTTACCTTCCTATGAGAATAATAAAACTGTGACGAGAAAAAATATAGACACCTACAGGAAATCAACTCCGAAAGCAGACATCACCCGGAGATNAATAAAACTGTGACGAGAAAAAATATAGACACCTACAGGAAATCAACTCCAATAGCTTCAACTAAAGCAGACATCACCCGGAGACNACACCTACAGGAAATCAACTCCGAAAGCAGACATCACCCGGAGATGTGGGGGGCAGCCCAGCACACACTTGCATTAAAACACATTGGCTGATTTTCGCTTTTCATCCAACAAACTTTAAAAACAAGCAAAAGGCCTACTATCTTCAAGCCACCTTGCTTGATAGTTGACAAAAGGTCCTTTGCTCTTATTTAATTCTGGAAAAAGGGTGCATGGACTCTGACCTCCGAGAGCCGCGTGCCTTTGACTTCGATGAGTCCGATGTCCAGGAAAGTTTTCAGGCACTGCTCCCGAACACCTGACCTCACCAGGCGTCACATACCCGTCTGGCTTCTGACACGTGGAGTCGCACTGTTCCCGGGATGAGCCCCACTCTTTCTCCCGGGTGCCGGCTCACTAGGGACACAGCCTGACAAGGCACCACGTTCTCGGGCTTCCCTCCACCCTGGACGGGAGAAGAAACAGGAGCGGGAGGGCTGCCTCGAGAAGCCAGTATCTGCCCTAAGTAGCAGCTGAGCACCACCAGGGGGACAGCATCACTCCCCCACCTGCCCCTGAGTGTCCAGCCCTAGACTGGGACCAACCTGCCAGTTGCAGGCCCGCAGTCTGAGGCTGCCACGCTGGGCCAGACTCACCTGGCAGAAACGGTCGAGACTCCGAAATTCATGCACAGTAGGCTTTTATAAACCCCTGCTTCAAGCTCAGGGCCATCGATGACCTCAAAACAACTGCTGAGCAACTGGACTGTGTTGCCTTCCCCACGGGGCCCGTGGATGCCATATTAACACTTCCATCAAATCAACACGTATTCTGTGCAGTGAATGTGGTATGGAAGGGCCACACCCCTCACCCACCCATCCTCACTGGCAGTTGCAGGACTAGCACCTACCGTTTCTCAGTGGCCTTTCCCCCACTATGATCTGACCTTTCATCCCAAATTTAAGACTAAGGGAACTAGATTAGTTTTCCAACCAACCCAGCAAGACAGAGGAGGGGGCGCCGTGGATGTGGGAGAACTTCAGTCACTGTGACCCAAGAGCACTGAGCAGTTAATGCCCCGCTCCTGCTGTTAGACATTGGCCAAGAATGGATCCCGCCAGCTTATAGTACGATACTAGGTACAGCAAGTAAGTATTGCACAAGTGCAAAAAGGGAATGAGAGGTCCCTCCCGCCCTGATCATCGCTTCCCCTGAGGCTTCAAAGCCTGATCCCAACGCCCTTTCTTTCCTCCCACCTTGGGTGACGTTGGCAGCGCTGCGGGGGCTGAGGATTGCGGGGAAAGATAGCTAAATAGCCTCTAAGGACTTTGGGGCTGTGAGTCACCTGCATAAGGAGGATATTTGTTCCCAAACTCTAAAACCTTTTAATAAATGCTAGTAGAATCAAAAGAACAGAATTGAAGTCACAGGTACTCAGTGTGTGTGGGGGCGGGGGGCTGGCAAAGGCTGTTTTATAAACAGGGGTGAGAAAAAGCAGTGGGGTTGTTTTTAAATTTTTTACCTTGGAGTCATTTCTGTACAAGATCTCAAACCGATAGCTTGAAAACTTCATGCCCCTGCTGTGGGAATGAGTGTGGGGCAAACAGGAAACAGATAACGGGCAGTTGGGCTTGTCACCACTATGCCAACCGAGAGCAGAAGCCCCAGAGATCACTGACTGTAGGAAAGTCAGGCTANGCAAACAGGAAACAGATAACGGGCAGTTGGGCTTGTCACCACTATGCCAACTGAGAGCAGAAGCCCCAGAGATCACTGACTCTGTAGGAAAGTCAGGCTATGTCTAACATGACATTCAAACAGCCTTCATTTCTGAAACCCCGTCTGATATCCCCAACTTTCAAGTCACCTTTTCTTCCAACAATTTTAGTTGTAGATCAGTTGAAACATGAAGAATATTTTTTTCCTGTAGAGACAATGTTAGAAACGATGGGCTGCACCCCTAGAGAGTTTCTAACACAATGTAGCTGATGCATTTACAACAGTAAAAGTCAAAACCAATAAATCTGAATATACAGAGTACTCATCGGCTCTGAGGATTTTGCAGGCTCTTGGGGCTCAGAAAACTGGAGAAAGGGGGCAGGTGACCATTCAGAGCATAGTAGCCGGTGAAACGACCAGAATCTTGCCCTGTCCTTCTGTCCTCAGATGGATCTTCTGCATCCGCACTTTGACCCCTGCCCTGCTGGTCTTGACCTCCAGACTCCAGCTCCTTTCTTCTGAGAGAGGAGTCGGGGGGGGG